TATAAAGGAAACCAATTATATTGACATAGTTATTAAAACATTAAAAACCCAAGCTCACACAACCCTAAGTTAAGAAACCCCTGTGATAGATGATTTACTTGAGGTAAATTCAGATTGACCTCTAAATGATATGGATAACTGACACCAGAGGAGAGTAAAATTCAAGTTACTTGAAAATGAATCTTTTTAGTAGTCAGAAATGAAATCGCGTTGTAGTCATGGAGATAAAAATAGGCCATTCAGGCAACTCCAAATACTTCTAATTATATTAAAACCTCTACTCCATTTTTCTCCATCTTTTCTACAAGAATAATATGAGATAGTTTATAAAATACTTTACCAAAATCTATGTAAACTACAATCAACATTCCTCTAATATACAAGCTGAGCCTACCGAAAAAGAAAATAAGGGCAGTCTGGCATTACCTGTTCATGATGAAGCTCTGCTGGCTTTTTGTAATCACCTCTTCCTTTTCTAGATATCCATTAGCCATCTTTGTAATGATCTGTCTTTGAATTTTCCCAGGAATTGAAGACAAACTTACTGGCCTATAGTTTACAGACTTTAAATTCATCAAGGGCATCTAGGTACTCTCAGAGTATCTACTTACTTGCTCAGCAGTCACTGGGCTTGTTTGCCTCCTATTTTACTCTGAGCTTCAAACCCTTGAGGAGATGGGAAATCTGAGTGGTTAAGCCCCTAACCTTGAAGAAATATAAATCATAAATGTAATTATCTTTTAGTCACTTTCATATCAAGGCCACAGCACGGATGATGGCATTTCTGAAACAATCATCAATCCTTAATATGGATAATGGTCGTCTATAGTAATAGAGCTAAAAGGTCTTGTTCCAGGGCCAGGTTTAATATTAAAACTTGTCCTATACTACCATTCTCTAGTGTTTGCTGGCCCACCAACCAAGAACCTGCCCATCACCAGCAGGAGGAAGAGCAACTGTAACAGCAGACTAAGCCAGAGACCAGACTTAGGCACAGTCCAGTGCCCTCTGTAACACTCCTTGGAGACCAAGCTTCATTATTCACCTGCCACCCACTGTTACCCCAGGGGAGTCTCTTACTTCCCTTACTGTCTATGGAAGAGACAGGAATTCACAGCTTCCTACCCCACCTCTTCTCTGATCCTCATCCTCTTCTGCTTTACATCATCTGAGTCCTCACGCCAAGTCTGCCCGCTTCTTTCACTGCGCCCTCTGAAATGTGTGATCTGTAGTGAATAAACCGCTTGATACTAGACCGCTTGCTTTAACAATCCTTTTTTTTTTTGACCTAGCTCCCTTCTGATGACATTGCATCCCCACTGTCTAGAAGGTACTAGCTGTTCCTTCTCTCGGATGCCCTGCCGCACATTGCAAGCATTCACTCCTTTCTCCTCACTGCCACTTTCAGACTCTCTCCCTTTACCTCCATTGCTCAACAGCTTCTCTACTTTTAAAGTATACCCAGTTGCATATTTCTGCCTGATACAAATCATGGTGGCAGTTGCATACTAATCTCAGGTCGTTTTTCCTCCTTTATCAGGGAATTGGCACCTTGTTATCCTCTCCAAACCCTGCCCTAGTTTCACAACTATGTAAGAAGTTGAATTCATATTATCGATCTTCAGCTGGGCCTTCACTGCAGCACACTTTAGCCTCAGTCTATCTTTCTAGCCTCTTTGGATCCCCTCCTTTATTGATTCTTTTGAGTAGGCAAACTAGGCCATCTTTTGCCTCAATTCTTACCTAGCCTTAAATCACTGAATGGGTGTTGCATCAGACAAACTGAGGACCTGGGAAAGACCTTAGCTTAAAAAGGCCAAGGTCTCCCACTGCATCGGGGGACATCTGCAGTCGTCCTGACCTGTGTCTTGCCACTGGACTCAGATAACTCTGGAGATGAAAGTGAGGCTGATGAGTTTGCACAGCCCTGCCTCACTTAAATCTAATTCACTTGCAAGTCAAGAGATCACCCTCCTGATGTTATTGGCCCTCTTCCAGAACGAAAGACAAACAATAATAACAACAACAAACAAAGGTAATGAAGTCATCTTCAAAACTTAACTGATCCAGGGAACCAAGTCTTAACTACTGACATAGCTTCCAGGTCGCCTAAGGACAGAAGACAAGGTGCCAGGAGCCAGGCCCTCCTCTGAGGCTTGACATAGCTTCTGACTAGCATATCACCATGGCAAATGCCACAGAGAAACTGTGCCCAAACAAATCAATTCTGTATGCTTGGTGAATACCCCTTCCATGCCATTGCTACATACACCTCCTTTTGTTAGTTAAGTGACTCATTTTATTCCAGCTTGGGCTGAGGGGCAACTCTCCTGTCCATCTCTCTCTTGTTAAAGTTAGGGTGATCTAGGCTCCCAAGGAAAAACCAAATGTGGGTGGGGAAATCATGACTCAGGTGGTTTTGGGTTTTTTAGCCAAGATTGCCAGAGGCAGCTGGAATTAAGGAATTAAGGAATTAACATTCCATAATTGCCTGAGAGGGACACAATCATCCACACCTGAAGGCAACTTCCCTTTCCTAGCTGTAGCCAATTGTGACATTCCCAATCACCCAGAACTTTCTTTTCTGTGTCCCAATAAAGGGGTGCTTTCTACCCCCTTTGGGGTCCCTGGCCTTTTGTCTGAGATGGCCAGTGTTACTCACTTTATTAACACTTTATGAGTCACTGTTAATACACTGTTATCTTACCCTGGAGAAAACTGTCTCAGTCTGCCTTTGTTTCAGTTTTACTTGACACAATGGCCAGAGGGCCAGAGGTTAAAAGGGCTCTCTTTTCAGGTTCTCCTTCCTCCACATTGCCCTTCCTTCACTTTAAACCATGAAATCATTGCAATCTAGTCCTGCCAAATCGCCCTAAATATTGAAGGTCAGGCCTAGCTCAGATTGGTCTATTGGTTCAGGTTCAAACCTGGAATAAAATGAGTCACTTAACGACTAACAAAAGGAGGTGTATGTAGCAATGGCATGGAAGGGGTATTCACCAAGCATACAGAATTGATTTGTTTGGGCACAGTTTTTCTGTGGCATTTGCCATGGTGATATGCTAGTCAGAAGCTATGTCAAGCCTCAGAGGAGGGCCTGGCTCCTGGCACCTTGTCTTCTGTCCTTAGGCGACCTGGAAGCTATGTCAGTAGTTAAGACTTGGTTCCCTGGATCAGTTAAGTTTTGAGGATGACTTCATTACCTTTTAATGGAAAACTAGCCTAGCCTTCATTGGGTAGATACTGCTCCCATGTTGCATTGCTAGCCACAAAATATTAAAGCATCATGAGGCAAGTCTACAGCATGCTCAGTGTATTTTCATAAATTTATGAAAAATAATGGACAAAATGTGGAGTGTTTCCAGTCCATACTAATGGAAGGGGTAGCCATAATAGTGACTTCATTGAGCCATTGGAATATTTAATGAATACCTAACTTCATTGTTCAAGACACTTTGCTATGTGTTGTGGGAGATACAGAAAAAGAGAGGGGTATAAATACAAGCAAACAGGATAGTACCTCAAGAAGCTTACATTCTAATGGGGGAAGACAACATAAATTAGAACTGGAAAGGGGGTGGGTGGAAGAGGGTAAGCAGGGTGACTGGAAAGGCAAGAGAAGTCCAGAGTTAAGTTGAGTTGTGAGTGAAGTGAGCATGACTGAAAGTCCCTCCTAAAATGATGGTTTGGGTGGAAGTATTTTGTTGTTGGGTTGCTTCCGTCATGTCTGACTCTTCATGACCCCTTTTTGGGGGTTTTCTTGGGAAAGATACTAGACTGTTTACTTCTCCAGTTCATTTTACAAATGAGGGAACTGAGGCAAACAGGCTTTGTCATTTGACTTACCCAGGGTCACACAGCTAGTAAGTGTCTGAGGCTAAATTTGAACTCATGAAGATGAGTCTTCCTGATTCTAAGCCCAGTGCTCTACTGTGCCACCTAGCTGATTCTAAGCCCAATGCTCTATTTACTGTGCCACCTAGCTGCCTTTGTGGAAGTATTTACCAGAAGGAAAATTTGGAAATGTAGGTTGGTACCTACATGGAGGGTGTCAAGTCCTGAAATAAGTCAAAGTCATGAGTTGAGGAATAAAGCATCTTTAAACTGAGATAACAGAATAGCAAACCTGGCACCCTGGGGGATGTCCAGATGGATTTTCCCAACCAAAAAGACCCATAAAAAAGTTTTTTTTTATAGTTTAAGGAGGAGAGGGGGAGGAGGCAGTATGAGGTAGCAAGTGCTGACCATGAGATTCCAGTGGCCCTTGGCAGTCTGGGCAAGGAAAGCCACTTCATTCTGGCTGTTTGGCCCTTCATGCCATGAATCCCAGTGGAAGGGGGAAAAGATACTTGAAGCTGAGATCCAGCTTGAGCTGGGCTCCCCACAAGGCAAACTCTCCCAGTGGGGGGACCTAGGATATGGTGATTACTTGTGTTCATACTGTATTCCACTGGTAAAACTTAAGCTTACCATGAACAAGGACTGAAAGTTTTTTTCTTTGTTTCACTGAAATAAGAAGAGATGAATAATAAATGTTTGATGAAGTTGAATTTAAAAGTTAAAAATTTAAAAAGTTAAAAAAAGTTAAAGATTTTAAAAAGTTCTGTTAATTCAATTAATTTTTAACTAAATAGTTAAAAGAATTTGTGGACTATTGAAGTGATATTTTAGTATTATCAGACAAGTATTAAAAATTTTCACCATTATAATTCACTCTTAATAATATTCTTTTTTTTTTTTTTTTGGCTAGGCAATGGGGTTAAGTGACTTGCCCAGGGTCACACAGCTAGTAAGTGTCAAGTGTCTGGTCTGAGACTGGATTTGAACTCAGGTCCTCCTGACTCCATGGCCAGTGCTCTATTCACTGCGCCACGTAGCTGCCCCCTTATAATATTCGTAATATTGTATTTGAGGCAAATGACCACTTACGTCATGTTCCCATTACTTGCTTAAACTCTTGGTGTTTCCAGGATGACTTTTTGGTTTGTTTTTGGCTCTAGTGCAGTTAATATGGGAACTGATATGCTGGAACTGGACTGCCATATGACAAAAGATGAACAAGTGGTCGTATCCCATGATGGGAATCTGAAGAGATCAACTGGAATAAATGTGAACATCTCTGACATGAAGTACTGTGTAAGTAAAAATACATTCAGAGTATATGCTTTGGGATGACATGATTTTAGCATTAGTGAAGTCCATTAAGCAATGAATTGGGAAAAAATGAGGAAAAATCATCTGGAACTTAAGTACTTTATCCAAAAGGAACTTATACATTTAATTTCCTGCCAAACTATGCTAATAGTTGTTTCCTGAACTTAACAGACCACTGCCAGCATCTTTGTGTTTATACTGTCATCTGTCACTTGCACTCAGTGCCTTCCTTCCTCTTTGTATTTCAGAATCTCTGTCTTCTTTCAGGACTTAGCTTAGGTGCGCTTCCTCAGCAAAGGCTTTCTTGATTCCCCCCTGAAAGGCTGACTGTCTGTATTCTCCCTATCTCTCCACATCTGGCTAAATGTTTTGAATATAACACATAATAAATTTAGCCAACATTTAAAAAGTGCCTGTTATTACTAAGAAATCCTACTAAGTGCCGGAGATACAAATTAGAGATGGTCTTGTAGCATCAGGGAACATATTCTGGGGTAAGGGGTTGAGATGGTGATAGATGATTAACATATGTTAGAAGATGATTAAGTGACTTGGCACTTATCAGACTGAGTGACTGGAGGAATTTAAGAAGGGAAGAAACCCCCTATTAGCAGAGGAGGATTAGGGAGAATTTCTGGGAAGAAGAGGTAGCACCAGAGCCAGGGTGAAAAGGTTGGAAAGGGATTGTGTTCTCACACACACACACACACACACACACACATGAGAAAGTGAGAAAATCAGGAGATAGCATTTAGGGTTAAGTTAAGCTGGAGCACAGAATGTGAAATAAAACTGGAAAGGTAACTTAGAGTCAGGTTGCTGGGGATCTTGATGGCCAGGCTGAGGAATTTACATTTTAGTCATTAAACAATGGAGAGGTACAGAAAATGTTTGTGAAGGAAAGGGACATGGTCAGAACTGTGCTTTAGCAAGATATATTTCAGTATGAAGGGGAAAGATGGATTGGAGAAGGGACTGGAGGAAGGAAAACAGGAGAGTTTTACATTTGCCCAAGTAGTTAAGTTGAGAAGGGATAAGAGTCTAAATGAGGATCTAAGGGTATTGTGAGTGGAGAGGAGGAGACAGATGTTAGAGCTATTGTGAAATTAGAATTGACATGATTTAGCATATGATTGGGGTGGAGGGCAGTGAAGAGAAGGAAGAAACAAGGATGATTCTGAAGTTTTGAATTTAAGTGACCAAGATAACCCCTGGTACAATTGTAGAGGAAAAGTGGTTTCATGCTGACAATATGTTGCTTGCCTGAATTACTCTCTCTTCTTCTCTCCTTTCCCCCATTTTGCTATAGCTGGAATAACAAAACCTGACTCTCAATTACCTTCTTCCTACTTAGGCCGAATACATCAAGCATTGCTATAACACTCTTTATCTGTTCTCAACCCCACAAATGTTGTGCCAGATGTTGACTTAACACAAAACTAGGGACTTTCCAGACTAACTTTCCCATGGAGACAGGCTGTATCAGTCCATTCAAATGCCATAGAATGCTACTGATTGGCTGCATCTTCTGAAAAAGCCAAGCCAGAACCCTAGGAAGCTGATATTGCTGCCCCTAAGCTGTCTTCCCTTAGCAAGCTAATTAACTTATTTTCTTTTCAGTTTGGCTGCTCTTTTTATTTGACCTCCTGCCTTATAGACCTGCTGATAGATGAATTCTCCCTAGGCTCTCAAGGAACCCAGGCTGAGAAATTCCCTAACACCATCAACAGAAATAGGGAAATTATGAAGATGGCAAGTTTCATGGGGAAGTTTTGTTTTAAATATAAGGAGTGCTGGTGGAATATCCAAGTGTGGATCTCCAGCAGATAATTGAAAATCCTGGTAATAGGCTCAAAGGAGAGTTTGAGGCTAAAGGTATAGATGTAGGAATTATTTGCATGGAGGTAATGTTTGAAGCTCTTGTAGTGGGTAGCTAAGGGAGAAAGTGTAGAGAGAAAAGAGATGAAGGAGATAGTCTTAGGGGAGGCATGTCCCCCACGCTTAGGGTGTAAGAAAAGGTGCAGTGGGAATGATCAGAGAGGTAGTGAGAAGCAGGAGAGAGGTATATCGCAAAGGCCAAGAGAAGAGAGTATCATGAAAGAAGAATTGGTAACTAAAGTGAAGTGACAGAAGGGTTAGGGAATATAAGAACTGAGAAGAGGTCGTTGGGTTTGATAATTCAGAGTTCATTGGAAACCTTGGAGAGAGTAGTTTTAGTATAGAGGGGTGGAGAGGGAAGCTAGGTTCTTGGGGATTCAGAAGTGAGTTAGGAAATGGAGACAGTGAATGTAGATCAGGCTTTTTAGAAGTTTGCTGGGGAAGGGGGAAATGAAAAAGCAGAAAATACCTTGAAAAGGGACAATTGGGTCAAGGGAAGGGATTTTTTTTATTTGTTGTTTACTAGACAATGTAGACTTTAGCATGTTTGTATGTTAAGAAAGAGCTAGAGAAGGCAATAGAGCATAGGATGGATGGTTAACTTTAGTAAGGAGATAGGCCATTTCATCCTCAGTCTAGAGAGGAGGAGAGAATGGGAAAAGGCAAATATAGTGGGAGGAAGGTGAAGAAGCTCATTATGGGAGGAACTCTTCAGTCTTGGTGAAATAGAATCCATTGTCATTTGAAAAGGGGCTTGAGAGAAAAGGTTTGGAAACCACAGCTGTGAGTGATGTAATGGGAAGACAGTTAAGACAGAAGATTTTCATGTGGTAGTGAAGCCACCCCTTAAGGTCTGAAAGCTTAAATCTAGCGTGTAGTGTTCTCAACACAGTTTCAAGCCTTTCTCTGGCATCTCTCTAGTGCTCTGGAGTAGTAGAGAAGGAAGAGAGGTATATGGTAGGTTTTATTCACAGTGTTAGTCATGACAAAGGATCCCAAAATCTGAAATAGTTTTAGAAAGAAATTTATTTGGTCATTTGGTAGAGATAGAGGAGGAAAGCTAGAAGGCTCCCTCCTCAGTGTCTGCAGGTTTTGCTTTACATTGGGTTTCAGAAGGAAATACCAGCAGTTGAACCCAACCCCACTGTTAACTTAGTAGCCTTAGTAGCTATTTTGTAGAGAGGGCTGTTCCCTGGCAAGGTCCATTATTAATTAATGGTCAGTTGAGATGTAAGCATGAACATTTAAATTTGGGAAACCCTAAACCCAAGCTTCCAATGGACTGAATACCTTGGGTGGAAATCCAAGCATTCCCTGCAGCCATCCCAGCTTCCCTGGCTGCACATCTGTGGTCAGCCAATTTCTAGTCACAACAAGCTAGGTTCAAACAATATTAATAAATAAGATTTTCCAAACAAATGTAATAAAATATTTCCCTATGTTAGGGTGGTAGGGACAATGGAAGGTTAATGGGGCAGAGAATGAGAGATGAGGAGAATGTCATTGAAATGGCTGACCCTGGGGGCAGGGAGGGAGTGGTCTGGGGAAAGAGCACTGAATTTGGAGTGTTTATTACCTGGGTGACTTTGGCCAAGTCATTTAATCTTTCTGGGCCTTGGTTGCCTCCCAAGGGCATTGAACTAGATGACCTCTGGGATTCCTTTAACTCTGAATTTCAGATCCTAAGATCATGAAAGGAAAAAATTAAGCCAGAGATGGACTAAAACACAGAGACTGATGGTTGCAGTGACTTTGAAGAGGCTGTTCAGGACAGCTGGAAGATGGAAGACAAGTGCTTTTGATGAATTATTTCTAGTGATGGCAAGGTCAGGGGTTGGCACTAATTCAATGAGTGATAGAAGTGGAGGGGGAATGGAGATTGAGGTTTAGGAGCTGAAAGTTCAGATTGTTATGAAAATAGTTAAATCACTAAGAATGATGACAGAACACGAATGAAAACATGTCTGTAAGCTAGGTGATAAAGTCACAGAGGAGTGAAGGTAGGAGAATGTCATAGAAGTTGGTATATGTTAGAATTAAGAATCTAAAAATGGTTGATTTAATCTGACCCTTGTGAACTACACAGGTTGGGAAAGTTCTTGAGTGATCGTGATCATGGTCTGTAAATAGCAGTGGGAATATGTAACTGACACCTTCCTAATGTCCTCTAGGTTCAGTGAACAAATGTGGATTTCTTTAAAAAAAACTGATCTAATGATAATTACCATGTTCTCTGAAACAAAATTTGTATAAATAAAATGTTTTTAAAAATAATTTAATGAAAACTACTGTGTTCTCTAAAATAAAATTTATAACTTCTTTATCTAATTGTTTGGAATATCCTGTAGTAGTAGGAATCAGATGAAACTTCCTATTAATTTTAGTTCTTAACTGTAAAAAAAAAAGACCAACTTTTAATAGTACTATCAAATCTTAAAATAAATCAAAGCCTTGAGTTGAGGAATAAAGCGTCTTTAATTGAGATAACAGCGTAGCAAACCTGCCACCCTGAGGGATGTCCAGTGGATTTTCCCAAACAAAAAGACCCATTTTATAGTTTTAGGAGAGGGGGAGGAAATAAGTGAGGTAGCTATTGAGGTTAGAGTTGGGAGAGCTGGTTCAGGTGTGAAAGAATTCACTTAGACCTTCTCTGTAGCCATCGGTGATGAGTTCAGGGTGGACCCCAAGAATGTTGGGGTGCTACCTGAAATGATGAAGAATAGATGTGTGGGTCCTGAAAGAATTTGCTTGAACACTCTCCAGGTTAAAGAAAGGCATTTATTGGGGTGATATACCCAAGTAGACCTGCTCCCCATAAGGCAGAGCCCCAGTGGGTTCAACTCCGTGTGGGAGGCAGAGCATAGGCCACAGGCCCTGCTCCCCTAAGGGAACAGAGTGGCCCCTGCTTCCTGTAAGAGGCAATGGGGGTTAGCCAGGTCAAAGATATGGTTTAAATACAATTTTATGGAATGGGGGAAGGGGACAAGAGAATGGAAGGAGAAAGCATGGCTCCAAAATGCCTGGGATATCAGATAGTTGGTAGGCAATAAGCAAAGAGAATAGGAAAGGGGAGGGGAAGAGTTGTTCTGAAATCGGAGGTGCTTTGTGAAAGCACACAGATAAGTCTATGGTGGGAGCTTCAATGCATAGTCTTCTTTGATCACTTTTTTGGCTGGTCACATCCTACATCCTATCTCCTATCTCATGTGCTGCTTGCTCCTTCTGCCTCAAGCACTCTTTTCTACCTCATCAGTAGCAAAGTCTGGTCATGAGACCCCAGTGGCCCTTGGCAGTCTGGGCAAGGAAAGCCACTTCATTCTGGCTGTTTTGCCCTTCATGCCATGAATCCCAATGGAAGGGGTCAAGGACACTAGAAATTGAGATCTAGATTGAGCTGGGCTCCCCACAAGGCAAACCGCATGAGTGGGGCCAGAAAACTAATGTAGGATGTGGTTCAGCTCAACCTAATCCAGAGTAATACCTTAAGTGTAAGAGGAATGTAAAGACATTACTAAAATTCTGACATTACAGGGATCATTTAAGTGAGTGGCAAGTAATATCACATTTGGTATTAACAATTTACGTCCTTATATTAACAAATTTCCATCAGTACTATAGGTTGTTTCCTTTGGCATTTTCATTGGTAGACAGAAGTAATCTTTAGGGAAATTTTGCTTAGAGGTGCTATGTATAAATAAATATTGTTTATTATTAAAGATTTGTTTTATTTTCCTAAATTGCATCTTATTTGAAGAAACCAGACCTAAAGTTGACATTCTCTTTATCTTTTAAAGGAGCTCCCACCTTACCTTGGCAAATTGGATATAACATTTCAAAAAGGTAATATCATCTTAAACACTTGTGTCATTAATGTGTTCTTTTGTATCTAGAAATGGAAACAAATATTTGCTCAGTAATACTTCTAGTAATGTAGATAAGTTGTTAATGACTTTGGGTGGAGCCTCATGTGTTGGCTGAGTTATTGCTGGGATCTCTTGTTTCCGCGAAATGAAACTTCCAGTTCACCCAGAAGTAATTCAGCCCAGAGAACTGACTCATACTTATCCCAGTTTGCCTAGGGATTATTGTACCCACTTGCCAAATTTGTTAACTTATAGGGAGAAGCTTAATTGTCAAATCGAATATCATGTTGGCCATTCAATGCATTCTCTTCCTAGTAGGGACACTTTCGGAGACTAAACTGAGATTGGAAGACTGCTTGGTGAAAAAAAAATCCATCAATAATCACATATATATTAAACATGTGCTGGGCACTTGTGCAATTCCTGAGGATACATGAATGAAACAATCTCTACCCATAACGATCTTAGATTCTAGTGGGAGAGACTCTTGAGTACATTAAAAAATATATACAGAATAAATAAGTTTATATACAAAATGATTAAATTTAAGGTAGTTTGGAAGGGAGGGCACTAGCAGTTGGAGAAATCAAGAAAGGCTTCATGTTGATTCCTGAACTGTATCTTTCCCCTATCCTCCCAATAAAAATGTGTGTTTATTTTTAAAGTGAATGATATTAGCAGATACCAAGTTCTAGTATTCCTGAGAACAGAGAAAAATGATTGAAAAACTATAATAGAAAAATACTTCATAACATTTCAGATTTAATTATTTTAATGAATGTAGTCACAGAAGAAAAACTGAATAACAGCAATCTATGCTTTATTTTGTGTGTGTGTGTTCACTTGCATGTTAACAGAACACCACCTCTATTCTGTTTTTTTTTTTGTTTAGGCAATGGGGTTAAGTGACTTGCCCAGAGTCACACAGCTAGTGAATGTTATGTGTCTGAGGCCAGATTTGAACTCAGGTCCTCCTGACTTCAGGGCCGGGGCTCTATCCACTGCGCCACCTAGCTGCCCACATACCACCTCTATTCTGTAATGTAAATCCTTGAAGACAGGGATTTATTAAAAAGTGCATAAAGTTTGTGTCTCCTCCAGGACTTAAAACTGTGTTTGCCATCATGAAATGTTTACTGGTTCCCAGACAGAAATGAGCCCTTCCTCCTTTGAAATCTGATATTACATTGTGTTTCTTTTATATACTCTGTATTGTATTCATTTCAGTATATGTCTTATCCTTGCTCCCCTACTAGATTATAAATTCCATGAGGAAATGGATATTGGATTGTACATCTATAGATATCCCTGAAGTCCTGATAGTAGTACATATGGGAGCACCTTTGAGGGCATTGTAAAGTACAAGTTTCAAAATCATAATCCCCATAATGCCCTACGCTATATAAGCATAGGCAATCTTACTCTATTTCATACATATAGGAGGCAGGTCAGAACATTGTAAGTAGTTGCCATGCAAAAACCAGAAGGAAGGGCTTATGTTTCCGTGATGGTAGTGTATACTTTCCCTCCCAGTCAGAGATCCTTTACAGAGAACCAGCGTCCACCAATGTTGCTCTTTCGTATCCATCTCCCAGTAGTGTCTGTCTTAGCTAAAGGCCTGTGTGCCCAAGACAGCCAAAGCACAAAGTCTTTGAGCCCTGCAAGGCACATTGTCCATAGGTGGCACTCTGAAGATCCCCTGACACAATGAGATGAGGAAGAGCATTTTCAGGTTCCAAAGTTATAGCCATTTTTTATATTTCTCTTTATTCCTGTGTTTATTTTCCAAAATTCCAAGCATCACAAATGCTTGGAAGCCCTCTCTTTTACTAAGGTCCATTTTCCCCCTGTAGTTTTTGCCGAGTAGGTTATTCTTGGCTGTAAGGCCTCATCTTTTACCTTTTGGAATACATGGTCTTTGCTCCTTAATCTTGTGTGATCCTGACTATGATTCCTCAGTACTTAAATCCTTTCTTTATGGTTGCTTGCAGTATTTTTTTCTTTCACCTGAAAGTTCTAGATTTTGGCTATGTTGTCCCTAAGGGTTGTCATTTTGAGGTTTCTTTCAGAACTAGAGAAGTGGATTTTTTCTATTTTCTCTTTGTTTCTAAGAGACCTAGGTTCTAAGCAGCCTTCCCATCTACATCTTTTCACCTCATCTGACTATTGGATGCTTTACTGAAATCAAGATAAATTATGTTTGCAGCATCCTTCTGATCTACCAGCCTAGCAACCCTGTCAAAATAGGAAATGAGATTGGTCTGACTTGAACACTTCTAAATGAAGCTGTGCTGGCTTACCTTATTTCTTTCATAATTTCTTAAATTATGATATTCAGGCTCTTTTTTTGGTCGTGGTTTTCAGGTAATTCTAAAATTAGATTCTAAAACTATCTCTCCTTGATCTGTTTTGCGGGTTAGTTGCTATTGATATGAGTTGCCTTGTATTTTCTCCTATTTTTTTGTAATCTTTTGACTTTGTTTTAATACTTCTTCTTTGCCTCAAGGGTGATTAATTGCTATCTGGTGAATAAGGTTTTGTACTTCTTATGTCGAGCTGTTAATTCTCTTTCCAAGGTTCTCCTTCTTTTTCTAGGAATTTTATTTGATCTTGAGGGCAAACCATGTTTTTCTTTCAGGCTTTGCTTGTAAATGTCTTGGAGTTATTTTCCTCTTCAGGATTTATGTTTTGGGCATCCCTGGGCCTTGTAATAGTTCTTTCTTTTTTTGTATAGGCTTTCATCCAGTCCATCTGGTCTGGTCAACCTGGAGTTGCTAGCTTAGCTGGGAACTTGGAGCTTAAGTTTGTCATCTTAGCCCCTCTGGGGGGACCCCCCCACACACACACAATGCTGCTTTCCTGGTTGAGGGACTGAGCAAGATCTGTTCTGGGAGTCCTCATGTTGGGAGCTCTAGGTGCTGAGTCTACTCCCAGTCTTTCTCCAGATCCTAGACTGCTATCCCATGCCGTGGCAGAATCCAAAATCATCTCTCACATCTCTGAGCTGTATGTAGGCTTAGCTCAGAGCTCTAGGCACCGAGTTTAGGATGTTGGCACCTCTGAGAAGACCCCTAGCTATTGGCATGGGTCTGGGGTTCAGTCTACGATCTGCTCTGGGTGTTCTTGAGCTGCTGGCTTAGCTCAGAGTCCTGCGGGCTGATTCTGTGATCTTGGCCCACCCCTGTTTCTTAGTACCTGCCCTGGTCACTGGCCTGTAGGTTAAATATATGTCTGATTTATTGTTTTTTGATTGTGTAGACTTAAGAAAGTGGAGAAAATATGAATAAAGCAAATTAAACTTAAAAGTCTGCTCATTTTATGTTTTCCCAGAGATCAGTTAAACTTTTTTTCAGCACATACCCCCTGCAAGTCCCACCTTAGTCAAGTCCCCTAACTTATTGTCCTGGTTGCTAGTTTTTCTTTCAGATTTCAGATTTTTCCCATTTAAAATGCAGCAGGCACTCTTAACCATAAAAATCCAATTAAAATTAATATTTCAAGTTTTAAAACTTCATAATGGAATTCCAGAATAAAATACAATTTCCCTCTAAGAGGTCAGAAATAGGAAGCTTGCTTCAGGTAGTTTAAATCCCAGAAAACCATTTCACTCCATCTCACCTGCCAGTCTGCCCCCAGGCTGATCCTTTTAGAATTCAAACCACTAGCCCTACAAAGCACTGAGTGGAACTAAAATGTGTGGGGCTTTGGCCATCACCTATGGCTGTGGCCCCAGGAGTCTGATGATCAGATTTCCTAAATTTTCTGTCTTTTCTTGACCTCTGTATTATCTTCCTCTCTAGATTTCGAGGATCAGATGAGTTGAGGGCCCTTTGATAACCATAAAGGTCAGCTAATGTTTTACAGCAGAGGGCAAAGTACAGATTATTGGGGCTCTCCACTTAGGGGCTCCCCTCAAATCTGATTTGTTGTTTGGTCTGTTGTTGAGTCTTTCTGACTCCAGGCCTGATACTCTATCCATTGTGCCACCTGTCTCCCATATAAAGGGAGATAGTGTGTAAGTATCTAGGCAAAAACAAAAGTTGTTTGGTCCTTTTTAGTTGTGTCTGACACTTCATGACTTCATTTGGGGTTTTCTTGGCAAAAATACTGGTTTGCCATTTCCTTTTCCAGGAAACTGAGGCACACAGAGTTAAGTGACCTGCCCAGGGTCACACTGCTAGTAAGTGTCTGAGTCCAGATTTGAACTCAGGAAGATGAGTTTTCCTGACTCCAGGCCTGGTATTCTATCTGCTGTGTCACCTAGCTGCCTTAATAAGTCTACATTGTAGGGTCAGCTAGGTGGCATAGCGGACGGAGCTCCGGCCTTGGAGTCAGGAGACCTGAGTTCAAATCCAGCCTCAGACACTTGATACTTACTAGCTGTGTGACCCTGGGCAAGTCACTTAACCCTGATTGGCTCACCAGAAAGCAAAAAAAACCCAACAACAAAAAAAGGTCTACATTATGCAATCTTTTATGTACAAACAAGATAAATATACAGGCCAGGTGAAATAGGGATAGTACTAAGATTAAGGAGGACAGGGAAAGGCTTCTTGCAGAAGGTGTGACTTTAGCTGAGACCTGAAGGAAGCCTGGTAGCCTAGGAGATGAGGGGAGATATTCTAGGGAATGTCAGAGGGAGAGCACTCCAGGAATGGGGTCCAGCCAGGGAAAAGGTTCCTGGTTTTCCCAGCACCCTAAGATGCAGGCCTGTCTGAGTAGTGACCAGAACTCATCTAGGCCCACTTGCCTCCTTTCTGTCTGTATCCTGTGGTAGCTTATTTGGGCTGTAGCCACAGCAAGGACCCTGAAAATCCTTTCACCTGGTTTCAACTCCCTGTAAGCCTTTTTTTTGGTTACAGTTGTATCATTTCTAGTTGAAGGACCATTCATTCTGCACGGCCTAAAAAATATTAACGTAAGTTGAGTAGCTCTGCTTTCCTTCCTCATTCGTTATTCATCCTCCTCCCCCTCCCCCCAGTTCTAAGTGCTGGTCTTGTCCCTTCTTTGTACCTCTACCAAAAACACAATCTCCTCACCAGCTTTTGTGTTCTGTCTGACACTATTCTGATCTGCCCCAGCTTTCATGTTTTTAATGTGTCTTTTAAAACTCTTTAATTTGGTTTTTGAGTTCCTTGTTGTGTCCACCTCCCTTGCTCAACTCTCCTAGATTTTCTGGTAGCCTAGACAGATTTTAATTTAATATCTACCTAATTTGAACACAACTTTTTCTTTTTTTGAAAGAATTTTTCATTTAGTATTTTATTTTTCCCCAATTTCATGTAAAAACATTGACATTGATTTTTAAAAATTTTGAGTTCCAAATTCTCTCCTTTCCTCGAATGTGCCTTTTTCTTCCCAAGTACCTCTACTCTCTAATGGAGTGCTAAGGTTAATTCCCCAGCTATTCTTGCTTGTTTGCTCTTTGTCTAATTCACATTTTTCCCCCTTCCTAATATCCACCCTGGATCCCACCTTACTGAAGGTTCTGGTGACCATTATTCACATTGTGTGGGAATTATATTTGGTTGTCATGCTGATTTTATATTATCTATGTCTGGGGAATTATCAACTGAAAATTTAAGTTGACGTCAGCTAGGTGGTACAGTGGTTAAAGTTCTGGGTTTGGAGTCAGGAAGACCTGAATTCAAATCCAGTCTAACACACTTATTAGCTGTGTGACTCTGGGCAATTCACCTGTGTTTGTCTCAGTTTCCTCATCTGTAAAATGGGGATAATAATAGCACCTACCTCCCAAGGTTGTCGTGAGGATCAAGTGAGATAAGTTTTAAAGCACTTAACACATAGTAAACACTATAGAAATATTAGCTATTATTAAGTTAGATTATGCATAATTTTTTCCAGATACCTCAAAATAGAGATCAATCATTTCTTACTCACCTGCTGCTTCTCTTATAAAAACACTAATTAGTGGACTTTGTAGATCTGTAACAAAAAAAAATTAACGTTTTCATTTGCTTTAGGATTTGAGATAATGGATTAAAAGGAGCTGTGCAGACAGGAAAGGGAGTACAAGTGACCTGGCTCATAGTGGTTGGGGTAAATGAACAGGGCCAAAAGGTCTATGGGAAAGTTAAATAGAAAGATTACTTAGGGTATCCCTCCCACACCAGTATTATGAGGTGGAAGATGCTTCCAGTTTTTCATGAAATGTTTTTTTTCTTTGGAGAGTACAACCCTAGGTTGATTCCTCAGCAAACAACTTGGATTATCTCTTCACCTTATCTCAACATTTAGCTGTTAGCCTCAGTAACTTAAGAAACACTTGAAGACATTTTAGAGCAAGAATTTTTGTGGCGATGAAGATATCTTAGAAAAGCCTCTTCAAAGCTCTGCCTTTTTCCAAAAAAAGTAGCAAGATAATGAGCATGTTCCTACCAATTAGATTCGAGTGTAGTGCTTGATTTCTTTAAGGTGAACTAACTTTTGTATCATTAAGGTAGATGAGCTTAAACATACCCTCCATAGTTGAGCAGGATTACTTCCCTCTGATCTGTAGGGTCAGATGCCATCGTATCATGTGGTACATAATTCTTACTTTTGCAGGAAGACAAAGTGAGGGAGAAGACAAACGCATTCCATTACTGAAGGAAGTTTTCGAGGCCTTTCCTCACACTCCAGTGAACATTGATATCAAAGTCAATAACAATCTGCTGATTAAGAAGGTATCTTTTTTTATTATGAACTTTATTACTTCCTCTGGCTATGTTGCATCAGACTTTACAACCCAAATGGAACTAGGGTAAGTGGTTTCTTAGAGTGATGGCATATCAGGGTTCAGGAATCATTGTTGTTTTAAAGCCCTTTTATGGGAGAACCTATCCTTTAGAATGAATTTTAAACCTAAAGGCCTGGCCATTTGCTATTTAAGTAATTGACTTAGGCCATTTTGAACGAGTTTCTGCATTTGATATCTATTTAGGCAGGAATTTATGTTTAGTCTATAACTAATTAGAAAAATGAGAAATGTAAATAATTTTTAGTTTGCAAGAGAATTTCAAGTTACATGGTTTGGTGTTCCAGATAGTTTAATTTTAGATCACTCACCTCTAAAATAGAGTTGGGTGGGGATGAAATCTTTTTTTAAAATGAAAACAGTGTGAGTGGAATTGGACAAGTATGTGAGGTGTTCTGATTTTTCAAATGCAGGTTTCAGAGTTGGTGACTCAGTACAAACGAGAACACTTGACAGTGTGGGGCAATGCCAAATATGAAATTGTAGAAAAGTGTCACAAAGAGGTAAGCTCCCTCCAAAACCCAGAATTATTCACTTCTTTTGGTATTGTGCCTAGGAAAGATTGTAGTGGTTATTTTTTTTTCCTAGTAGTTCCACAGCAGTTTTTCTGGTATTTATATAGGAAAAAAACATAGCATTGGGTGGAAGCAGTGGGTCTGCAGCGATGGTAGAGACATTTTGCTTAATGGGGGAGGCCTCAGGTTTGGGCCCATGCATCTTTAAGTTCATCTCAGAATTCTTAACATCACAAAAGAGTATTTAGCAATAGCATTCTTCTGTTCAAAACCAAGGGGGATCACAGACCCTGCTTTTTAAAGAATCTTTTGCTTGTTCACATGCTTCCATTAGATGTTTGTTTTAATTAGAAATTTCCTGTTTAGTTGGAACTGAAAAGGAATCCTGATTTAAGCTTTGTAGCCTAAGGATCTCTTCCTTCTCCCTCTACCCCCTGTCAAATAAAGTTGAAAAGGCATTTTACCAACTGAATAGTTTCTGGTCAGAAAAAAAGTGTGTTATGTGTTTGAGTATACAAAATAGGATACGACCCAGAGGGCCCCCCACCTCCCTATCAGAAGCACAAGTACTAAAATATGAAGGATTACAATTTTGGCAAGGCCTCTTTATATAGAAAAGCGATATGAAAATCCAGAAGTCTTAGAATTCTGTTTAGGCCTTTACTGAGTTGAGTGTGATACACATACAATGTGGGACAAACAGGGCATGTTAAGTTGGGTGGGTGGATGGGGTGTCCCCTGCAGTGCATGGAGAGAGAGAGAATGAGATAAAGCAAACCTAGCCCTATCTGGTCAGTCCCAGCTTTATTACTAAGAGCTAGAAGCCTCTGGTTTGGGGAAATTCTTACTAAAAAGCCCAGATCTGTAATGAATTATTTTCATACATCACAATTTGTAGTAACAATTATAAGCAAGAGTGCCCCTGCCCCCCAACATTTTCAGAGATAGTGTCTCTGGTTGTTTTGCTTAATACATCCAACTGACTAATTTCCTTGTGCTTTTTTATTTCTGGTCTCTTGACAACATTATGAAATTAAGTTGTCAAAATGCTTTGTAATTCAGTCATACGTTTTATTCTAATTCACTCAGTAACTTTTATTGGCCACCAATAGTGTATATCATGGCTTTCTAAGCATGCAGGTCATTACTACTTAATTGTGCATTTTCATGGTAATTATACAGTATTTCAGTTACTTTGTGGTTTAAGCTTTTGTTGAGCTGGCTTAGACAACCTTAACTTTTATGTAAGTGCTTAATAATGTTTACTAAGTTGGACCTCGGCCTTGACATCTGCAGGCCACCCTGCATGAAGTAAGAAGGGCACGCGGTGGGCTTGGGGAATGCTTCATGTGTAGGTATCTCTGGGCCCTGTCTGCCAGAAGGGGATCCAGTGCTTGGGTAACCTCAGTATCCCAAGGACCAGCCATTCATATGTAATTATGTTTGCAAGACTCTTGTTTATAACTGGAGAATACTTGTGTTAAGCTTTAAAATGTATCCTACTGAAATTTTAGGGATTACCTGCTAGGCCTGTCTTGTTAAGTAGTTGTGAAATAATGCATAATATTATACATGTGTGTTTTGTAGAATTCAGATATCCCCATTCTCTTCAGTCTACAACGTGTTCTGCTCATTCTTGGCCTGTTCTACACTGGCCTCTTGCCCTTTGTGCCCATCTGTGAGCAGTTTTTTGAAATTCCAATGCCTTCTATAATATTGAAGTAAGTGGCCACCCTGTTTTTGTTTTTGTGATTTATCATTATAATGACAGAGAGTTGCAGGTAAAATCCCATAAAAATCGATTTAGGGAAAGAAAGCTTTGTATACAAACCCTTTTCCACATTCTGCTATGACTCATTATTGATACTTTGTTACTCTACTTCAACAGTCCGGTAAATTCTTAATGAGTACAATAAATGCTTAGTGTGGTTCCAAGTTAACAATCATTTTTTTTGTGTGTGTTTATGCTACATGCTTTGTAAGTAGGATGAGAGGGAAAGGAGAAGAGGTGACTTGAGTTGAAGCAAAACTACCTGATCCTTGGAGTCAGAAGCCTTGGGTTTGAATTCTGGCTCTGATACTCATAGTGTGACCCTGGTCAAGTCACTTCATTTGTCTGTGACTTGGTTTTGTCATCTGTAAAATGTGGATAATAATACTTGTATTACCTGCCTGCCTCACAAGTTTTCTGTGAGCAAAGCCTTAAAGCTTAAAATGAGTTATTTTTATTATTATTATTATCATTATACTAATGTTTACAAAAAGTTGATTGTGGGGGTCAGAGGTGGATGTGTTAAAATATAAATATATGGGGTCTTATTTGCCATCAAAGCAGCACTGGCCCCTTAAATGTTACTCATCCTTTTTCACTTCAAACATCCCAACAGCCTCACCTGAAAAGTTTATCAGACTCTCAAATTACCCACCAAAACAACTACCAAAAAGATCTGGAGCTTGGAGAAAGAAAAGGGTAGGGAAGGTGTGTATGTGATACCTCCCCAAGTCCCCTGCTGAATACAAAGCCTTGCTTTTTGAAGAAACGTGAGCTCTATCTCAAGGTCCTGCAAACTGGGAGTGTGATATCTAGCAATGTATTCATTGTAACAATGCACTTGCAACAAAAGAATTTGGAGCCATTACAGAATTCATTATGTTGGGATTTTACCTGTATTTAATATTGCATCAACCCCAAAGCAGAAACACAAAAATAACAAATAACTATGTGCGCAGTATTCATTTAAAAATATTAGTGGATGCTGTTGTATTTACTTCCTCTGCTTTCAGTTTTCCAATTTGGTTTTTGTTTATTTGACTCACATTCATTAGCATGTTTCCTCTTGGTAGCCATTTCTAAAAAAACCAAAAAAACAAAAACTCTCCTCACAAAAGAATGCTCCTCCCTTCATGGTATATTTTTTTTAAGTTGGCACTTAGACCACAAATTCCCTCTAACTTTCTTCTGCTCCCATGACTGGCTGCTTTCCTTTAGCATAGAATAGAATCTCAGTTCTTTTAAATGAATGTTTCTGAGTGTTCACTTAAGAAGCAGATGCTAGTGAGACCTGGAATTTTATGTATGCACAGATAAATTCCTGTTTCCAAGAAGTGATTGGCTGTTTGAGGGGAGAAACAGTGAATATGCTGACATGTAAATTTGGAGCCTTACGTATTTTATAGTTGTTTCAGTGAACTGTTACAGGGATTTCCTAGGGCAAGACCCTAATTGTATTTAACATCTGGCTTGAGTTTGAGCCATAGAATCTCTTAAAGGGGAATAGGGTGATTCATTCCTTCAAAAAGAAAGAGAGCTTCAGCTTAGGCCAGGTGGGTTAAATTGGGTAAGAAACAATGGAGGTTCTGAGGGAGAGAGACAGCATTGTAAATAACTGAGAGTATTTTGGAAAAACTGGATTCATAGAGAAACAAAATATAGAATGAGTTGATCCAGAAAGGAAGGTCTAGAATCAGGGATGGGGAACCTGTGGCCTTAAGGCCACACATGGCCCTCTAGGTCCTTGGGTTTGGCCTTTTGACTGAGTCCGAGTTTTACAGAACAAATCTTTTTATTGAGGGGATTTGTTCTGTGAAATTTGGATTCAGTCAAAGGGCTGCACCCAAGAACCTAGACGACCACATGTGGCCTCGAGTCCCCAGGTTCCCCATCCCCAGTTTTAGGTGACTAGCCCACTAGAAAACTCTAAAGTGCAAGGACAACAGATAGAAAACAGAAAGAGTGGAATTGGGGGGGAGGGACAGGGAATGGAACCCACGATGTGCTGATAGAGATGGCTGGCATAGTTCAGTTAACTTTAATTTGCAAGATGATGTATTTCTTTGTAGTCAGGAGAAAGGCCTCTGGGAGGTGGAAGAGAAAGCTTATTCTAGACTTAAAGGCAGAAATAACAAGATAAAGTAATAATAATAGGAGACCCAAAGAGTCTCATACCAAAAAAGAAAATAACAGAAAAGTACCAGTACTAATTATACCAAGTTGGTAGCACAAACTTCCTTCTTGTTGGAATAAAGCACCTAAATTGTGCTGATTACAATAGATCATTTAAGAGAAAAAAGTACTAATGAAAAAAGAAAGTGAGGACAGGACAGGAATAGAGTCTGAATAATAAATCTTCTCCCCTCCTCACCCCTTTACTTTTGAGCAACAGAAAGTTAACCTAAAACCAGCATTTGCAGCTTTAGAGACTGCCTCCTGGGAGCAGAAATAAGGGAGGGGGAAATGAGGGCTGTGGAGGCTGTTTAGTACATTGGTGAATTGCTGTATTGTTAATTTGTAGTTTCAATTTTATTTTTTCTCAGACTGAAGGAACCTCACAGCATATCAAAAAGTCAAAAATTTCTCATTTGGTTGGCTGACAGGTACATTTATTTATTTATTTATTTTAAATATGGCTTGCTCAGTAAATCTTGTATTAAATGCCCTTCTTGTACCCATTGCATTTGGAAATGGAGGTGATTTTAAACTAAAAGATTAATAGAAACATTTTAAGTATTGTATATCTGCAGTGTATGTCAATGGATGTAAGTTAATCACTTTAAGACTTATTTACTAGGTGAGTCAAAGAACTATATTTTTTGGTAAATAATGTTTCATTTTTTCCAATTACATGTAAAGATAGTTTTCAACATTCAGTTTTAGAAGATTTTGAGTTTCAAATTTTTTCTTCCTCCCCCCTCCCCAAGACAACGAGCAATCTGATGTAAGTTATACATGTGCAATCATGTAAACATATTTCCACATTAGTCATGTTGTGAAAGAAGAAACAGGACAAAAGGGAAAACACACACACACACACAAACCAAAAAGTGGAAATTATGCTTTGATCTGCATTCAGTCTCTATAGTTCTTTCTCTGGATGTGTAATATCATAGAATTTTTAGAGCTATAAGGGTCCTTAGAAATCATATAGTCTAATGCCATCTTTCTTCCTTCTTTCAATAAAGGTTAAATGACAGAGTCACACAAGCTAGTAAGTGTTTGAGGCTGAATTTGAGCTCAGATCCTCCCAACTCCAGAGTGTTCTGTCTAGCCACCTAGCTACCCCTAGTCTAATGCCTTCATTTTAAAAGGGGGAAAACTAAAGCTCAGTTTGTGGCTTGCCTGAGTCATACAGCTAGACATCAGCAAAGCCAGAACAAGACCTCAGGTCTAATAACTAATAGTAAATAGGTTTTTTTTCCTGCTACTCCTTGACAGTCAGAAGCTGTTAAGGTACATTAAGAAATAAGTATAATTATCACATGTAGAAAAACACATTATTTAATTACTAAGTTCCTAAATGTTTGTTTGGGAAAATATACATCAAGATCCTGTAGAGGGAGCTGGGAAAAAAATCCTACAAATGGAAAGGAAGCCCTCCTTTGGGTGGTTGTCTGCTTCAGAGAAATCCTTCTTTTCTTTTTTAAAAAATTTAATTTATTTTATTCCTCCCCCAATTACATGTTAAAGCAATTTTTTTAACATTTTTTTTTTAAGTTTTGAGTTCCAAATTTTATCCTTCCTTTCTCCTTCCGTGGTATGGTAAGCAATCAAATATAGGTTGTAAAACATTTCCATGTTAGTCATTTTGTATAAGAAGACCCAAATAAAAGAAAAAGAATGAAAGGAAGAAAGAAAGTGAAAAAAAATCATGCTTTAGTCTGTTTTCAGACAGTATCTTCTTTCTCTGGAGGCGGATAGTATGCTTCATTATTAGTCCTTTTATTGTCTTAGGTCATTGTGTTGCTAAGAATAGCTGAGATATTCACAATTCTTCATGGAACAATGTTGTTGTTACTATGTATAATGTTTTCCTGGTTTTTTTCATTTCACTTTGCATCAGTTCATGTAAGTCTTTCCAGGTTTTTCTGAAATCATCCTACTTGTCATTTCTTATATAACAATAATATTCCATTACAGTCATATACCACACAGCTTGTTTATCCATTCCCCAACTGATGGGCATCCCTTCAATTTCCAATTTTTAACCGCCATAAAAAGAGCTGCTATAAATATTTTTGTATAAATAGATGTTTTACCCTTTCTTTTGATGTCTTTGGGATATAGGCCTAGCAGTGGTATTGCTGGATTGAAGGGTATGCACAGTTTTATAGTATTACTCTCCAGAATGGCTGGATCAGTTCGTAACTCCAACAGTGCATTAGTGTCCCAGTTTTCCCACATCCCCTCCAACATCCATCATTTTCCTTTTTTGTCATGTTAGTCAATCTGATAGATGTGAGGTGGTACCCTCAGAGTTGTTTTAATTTACAGAAAAATCCTTTTTAAAATTTTTTAATTAATTTATTTTGATTTATCAACAATCACTTCCATAAGTTTTTGAGTTTTACATTTTTCTTCCCCTCCCTCCCTAAGAAGGCCTGCAATCTGATACAGGCTATACATATACATTCCTATTAAACATCTATTTTTACATTAGTCATGATGTAAGGAAGAATTAGAACCAATATAAGGAACCACAAGAAAGAGGAAACAAAACAAAACAGAAGGGAAGAAAAGAGCAAATAGTATGCCTCAATCTGCATTCAAACTCCATAGTTCTTTCTTTGGATGTGGAAAATCCTTCCTTTCTAGGATAACTTGACTTCACTTCAGATAAAGACTGTAAAGCAATTATACTTTGTTTTGTCTAAAACTGATCCCTGGTTCTTGAAGTTGATGAATAGTCTTATATCGCAATTGTTTTTTGCTTAGTGTTCCTTTCACAGGGCCTTGGGAAGTTCTCTAATCTCCCCTTCTCTCTGTGCCTCAGGATTCAATTTTAATTTGAAATATTTAATTTAATATTGGTCTGTCACATTCAGTTTTTATACCAGCTCTTTTACCACCTTTCTCACTAGCTTCTGCTAGTTTATCATTGTGGTAGACAAGAAAAGTATAAATGACAAATGTTATACCCATTTAAACTGCTAATTTATGATGCATCTCACTTCCTCTGATTGATGTGCTTGGCCTTGAAATCCAGGTGCATACTTATGAAGGAAGTCTCTAATTTTAAAGACACACATGTTGTGTTCCAAAAGTTCATTTGTAAGTCAGGCGTGTTTGGAACTGAGAACACGTTTTCCCATTGAAATATCAGTGGGGTGGGGTAGGTTCTCAAGGTAGACCACAGAAGCGCATTTGATCCATAACATAGGGGAGTTAGAATACAAATTGTGGCATACGCCCCAATAGCATAACTTCCTTTTTCTTTGAAAACTTGAGAGGCTAGTAATACATCTCTTCCCACTCTAGTTCAAACAGTGAGAAGAGGGATTGGTTTTCTCCTGCTGTATCTAGTCAGAGTAGGAGGAGCTGGATCAGAGAGGCTGCAGGGGTTGGAAACCTCAAGTTTCCCAAGATTTGACATAAAGTAGAGGGGAGTTTTGGCATCTGTGACAAGGAGCCTTAAGCTGGGGCAGCTTTCTGAACATAGGTGGTCAGCACTGAGTGGAAGGCTCTTCTTCCTCACCTTCACCTCTTAGACTCCCCAGCTCCCTTTGAGTTCAGCTGCTTCTGTCCCTCCCCACTCCAACGTGACTTTCTTTAAAAAAATTTGCTTTTGAGGACATAGGCTGTTTCCTCAGATAACGTATGAGTACCCTGAAAGCAGGGACTTTCTTGTTTTTATTGTATCCCCAGTACCCTAGTAATGTCCATAGTATCCATAGTAGTATCCCTAGTATTCATAGTAGTTGCTTAATGAATTTGATTCACTGAGTGACCTTATGCTGTTGTGCTAGGCACAAGGGAAATGCTGGGTTGAAGATGATGTACTAAATGCTATTCTGTTTTTTCTTTATAGGTTGCTAATGAGGAAAAGCCTTATTTGACCACCTTACTGCCCGAGGCATTCAGGTATATTTCTGGAAAACGTACAAAGGCTGTTTTCTAATCATGTTCTTACAAGCAGGATAGCTATTTTTTTTTCCATTTAAACTTTATTTTAGGATAGCTAATTTTAGCATAGGGAAAAGAACTTTTAGTGAGGGGCAAGAACTTTGGACTGATTTTGGAATCCACATCGATTAATTATTTATTAAAATGCCTGCTAAGGCAAATGCTGATGCTAAAAATATAAAGATGCAAAACAAAATAGTGCCTCCCTGCAAGGAGTTTATAATCCAAAATGCACACAGATCAACAACTATAATAACAAGATAATAATCATAGCTAACATATATGTAGCACTTACTATGTGCCAGGCACTTTACAATTATTATCTTATTTGATTCCTCACAACAACCCTGAGAGGGAAATGTTCTTGTTTATACCCATTTGACAGATGTGGAAACTGAGACAAAGGGGATGAGTGATTTGCCCGGGCTGACACAGCTAGTAAGAGTCTTAAGGCCAGATTTGAAAGAATATAATTACATGCAGAGGTAGATTACAGGGAAGGCCTCATGGAGGAGGTGACACAGGAGCTGAGCCTTGAAGGAAGAGGATTTCAGCATGTGGCGACACAGCTGAGTAAACTTGGGCAAGTCACCTATCTTCTTAGTGACCCAGACACTGACTTGAGACTGTAAGTTGTAGAATGGTTGTGTTCCAGGTACAGTTTCTAAGTGCTGGGAAGACTAATTCAAGAAGAAAAACAGGCAAGTCCCAGGACTCAAGATGCTTATGTACTATCTAATGAGGAAAGACAATGTATAAAAGAAAACTGGAGGCAGGGATGGGGTGGGGCTGGGAAGCAAAGGCACCTGGTGCAGAACCGTGGAAGAGAAGATTTGAAGTGCAGCCTGGAAAGGAATGAGAAGGGCCCTCCTTAAATGAAGGCTGTGGGAGGAACCAAAAAGGAAAGAGAAGAGGAGGAGGAGGAAGAGAGGGAGGGAGGAGGAAGAGAGAAAGAAGAGGAGGCAGAGAGGAGGAAGGGGGGGGTCATAGAAGCCAAGGGAGGAGAGAACATGTAGGAACACAGTGATCAGCACTGTCAAGAGATATCAAGGAAGATGAAATGGAAAAGAGGCTATTATATTTGGCAAGTAAGAGATTATTGGTGACATTGAAGAGACTGGTCTGGTGTATAGTGGAGGCAGAAAGGGGATGGGGTGGTAGAAGCCAGAGTATAGGAGTTAAGGAGTCAGGAGGTGTTGTTATTCAGTTGTCTTCAGTCCTATCCTAGTCCCCGTGACCCAATTTGGGGTTTTAGTTTTCCATTCCTTCTCCAGCTCGTTTTACAGATGAGGAAAGTAAGGCAAACAGGGTCAAGTGACTTGCCTAGGGTTCACACAGCTGTTAAGTGTCTGAGACCAGATTTGAACTCAGGAAGACAAGTTCTCCTGACATCAGGCCTTGTGCTCTGTGTACTATGGCGCCACCTAGCTGCCTAGTGAAAGGGTAGAAACAGACTTTTTTAGAAGTCTGGCAATGAAGAGAAAAGAGATGGTACAGAAAAGCAAGGTTAAGGGAAGCTCTTTGTTTTTTCCTCACTCCCCTGCCTTTGATGCTGCTGGCTCGCTGAATCGTTGACAGAAGAGGGTTTTAGGTGTTCCACCTTCTTTTTAGTAAGGATTCAGTGGAAATTTGTTTTGAAATGTGAGGGAGTTGGGAACAGAGGATGTATTGTCCGAAGTTAGATTTTCATGTACATAAAGGTGGGAATGACCAAGAGGGAGGAGTCCCAACCTTGACCGCCCCCTCCTCAGTAAGTGAGATCAAGGTTGAATTTTTAAAACTTCATACAAGGTTGCTGACCAAATGCATTGGGATTGCAGTGGTGAAGTGCTATTGTGTGAAGGCAGCATGCTCTGTTTTCACATTTTTGCTTATTCTTCTACCTTTAGGTATATGTTTGGGTCCTAAATGAAGAGCATGAATACAAAAGAGCTTTTGATTTGGGAGCAACTGGGGTGATGACAGACTACCCAACAAAGCTTAAAGAATTTTTACGTAATTATGCATAAGTCAGCCTAAAAGAGTCATTCAAAGAAGACGAAGGAATATTCTTTTTTTCAGCATCACATAAATAAGCCATTTCCTGAATGGTAAAAGATGTAATCAATTGAGTTTCATTACCTCATTTTTAAGCCTGGTTCACCATGTAGAAACTACAATGTATATTTATTTTAAAGTATATTCCAGATTTTACATTTGTACATGATTTGTTTAGAAAGCTAACATTGATTGGGATAGGCAGGAAGAAGATGAATGGCAGATCAGGATTTCTGCGTTCTATCTATTGCAAGCAATTTGCAAATCAAAGACTAACACTAACAGACTAGGTAAAATCCGGGATTTTGAAGGATCTTGACGTTCACTGGCTAAGATCAGTTCATCAGTAAAACTAAATTATTGAAAAACTGCAGCCATTCTTAAATTGGCTCTTTGTTTCTGGACATATTGCTAGTCTGCACAATGAAAAAGAAACAAGTAGAAGAAGCAGTTAAAACAAACAAACAAACCAATGACGTAGTTATCTGACAAGACGCACACTGAGATCAGTAGTGAGTCTCCTAGAAATAATTGAAAATATCACCACTTGACCAGAAACAAAATCTGTAGACTGAATTGATTTTTCTTTGGCTGTTGTTATATACTTTTGTTAATAAGAATGTAAGACTAATATTTGAAGTCTTTTGGGTGTGTGTGTATGTGTGTGTATGTATGTGTGTATACATATGTGCGTACCATCAACTCTATGGCTAACTTTGTTTTCATTGTAAACATGGCAAAGTAGACATTTGTAGGTTATTATTGAGACTAGAGCCTCCCAAGAGTTGGAAGATTACAATTTGTGACCAGGCCTAATTGTATTTTGTGGGCCTGTTTCGGATGTACAAAACCACTTTGACTCTTCAGCCTCTTCATTATGTTAAAGAAGGTGACATCATTCTTTCCATACTTTTGGATAACCCCACCTGATCTGTATCCACCGTGTTGCTAACCAAGTAGTCCCTTTTGAGTGTTAGCTGGAAATAAGATTTTCCAATGTTCTAAGACTCTCTCAACCTTTCTTCTATAACTCCATGTAAATCTATTTCTAATCTTTTTGGGTATTTGTCATCAGTGGAGCCTCTGACCTCTGGTCAGCAGTAGACCATGCTCTATGGTAGGGCAGATGAGATCTCAGACACTTGTTTGTAAATCATTTTCTCATGAGGGTAAAAATATCATTTTTTAAAAACAGAAATAAAGTTTTCCAAGGACATGCTGAAGTCTCTTGGTGTGTATTTGTTTTTAACTGTCAGAGTACCAAACAGGCTGTGGAATTTTTGACTAAACTTAACAGTTTGTGAATTAATTGATGAAAGGAGTCCATGCACCTGAAATTTGTTTCTAGACTAAGGAAAGGGAAGGAGGAAGTAGCTAATATGTTTAGTAACTTAGTAACTGTTTAGTTAATGGAAAGACTGGAGGTGTAGTAGGGAAAAATAGGACCTCAAGGATACCTGGTTCTGTGTACAGTAATATCTCATCCATCCTGATCTAGTAAGTAATGAGGTGCCCCACATAACAATGAGAAACAGGTGCCTGACCTGGAGTCCACAGGAACCTGGGCTCCAATCTTCTGACCCTTATTATATGTTTTTAATTACTTCTCTGCCTGTTTTCTTCATCTATGAAATGGAGATCCGAATATCAACAGTACTTGCCTCATAGGGTCACAGGTGAGGTTCAGATGAAATGAAGTACGTATTTATTGTTCTTTGCAAGTCTATACCAAATATCAGTTGCTATTATAGTGAAGTAGACTGGTTGTAGTTGTGACCGCTTCAAATGCCAAAACCTTGTTTATTATAAGCATTGTTGACAGGAAGCTTTCTGAAATGCATTATACATTTCAATGCCTTTTTGAAGAGAAGACACTAAATATAATGTGATCTTTCCTTGGTGTTGCAAGGTCATCATTTTGAATATCTAAGCTTTGGACTCAGTGGTAATGTAATTTTGCATGCACATTTAAAGTGTTTCAGCCACCTCTCTCATTAGGCTATCAGCTTCTGCAATCTGACACACATCCCTAAGAATTCTGTGGCACCTCTGGTTTGCTGTCTCTGATCTCCTTGAGGACCAAAAAAGCCAGATAGCTGAGTTTGTTCTGAATTAATGTTAAGGGGACGTATGTTAAGTAAATGATGAGACAGTGTGTGAGATAGTGACTAGAAAGTTGCGTTGGGAGAGGGACTATTTGAGTTGATCAGAGCCTTTTTCATTTAAGAGTGGAATGGTGTCCTAGAGGAAGACTTGAATTTGCCAAAGGTCTATTTTGGATAAATAGGTTGCTATAGCTAGCACTTTATGATTTGTGGACATTTGTTTTTCGAGGCTGACAGAAGCCCTTGAGGTATAGATTTTTAAAATAGTATTATCCCCATTTTGTTGCTGAGGAAACTGAGGCTCAGAGACGTTATGTTTCTTGCCTATAGTCATTCATCTGTCCAGTAGATAAATGGTAGAGCTGGGACTGAACCCAAGGCTTAGGATTCTAAATTCAAGTGCTTTTTTTATTAGCTACTGATATTATAATTTGGGGCAGCTAGGTGGCACAGTGGGATAGAGTGCTGGGCCTGGAGTCAGACACTTACTGGTTGTGTGACCCTGGGCAAGTCACTTAACCCTCTTTGCCTCAGTAACTCATCTGTAAAATGAGTCGGAGAGGAAATGGTAAATCACTCCAGTAACTAGTGTGGTAAATAGTGTGAATAATGTGGTAAAGAAGGTTCCTTAAACTTTTTACTTTGTTTATGTTTTGAGCAATGGAGGAATTATCAAGATAGATTGAAAGCTTCTTGAGGGCAGGGATCTAAGTCTTATACTTTTCTTTTATTGCCACTGCCTAGTGTAATGCCACAAAGATGTGTGTGTGTGTGTGTGTGTGTGTGTGTGTGTGTGTGTGTGTGTGTGTGTGTATGAAATGTCTGTATGTGTGTATGTGTATGGTAGGTACTCAAACTGGTCCTGTGTGGTTTTTTTAGACGTAGATATATAGATACAGATCGATATTTGTGTGTGTGTGTGTGTGTGTGTGTGTGTGTGTGTGTGTGTGTGTGTGTGTGTGTATGTAATAGGTAATCAAACTCATGGTAGCAATGCTCATTAAGTATTTTGTCTCACGTTGGTCACATTTATTCATTGACTTCTTGTTTTGGGATTAAATTAGGTCATGCAAAGTAATCTTAACTGTGAGTGTGGCCTAGCAAATGCTTCATTCTTCTAGTACTTATTAAGCAGTGTGGCTTTTCTTAGAATAAGGTTTAGATTTTCAAGGTACACTTATTCCTTAGAGGGAGGTAGTTTTCTTCTTGCAGGTATGTGTACTCCTAATTCAGGTGACCAGTATCAGTTTGGATAATGCTGCTCTGGATTGTGAACTGTGTTGACCAAATGATTAAACCCTCCCCAGACACAGGAAATTTGGAAATGCTTTTACAATTTTAAATAGCCCCCAAAACCTATAGTAAAGGGGCAGCTAGGTGGTGCAGTGGATAGAGCACCAGCCCTGGATTCAGGAGGACCTGAGTTCAAATCTGGCCTCAGACACATAACACTTACTAGCTGTGTGACCCTGGACAAGTCACTTAACCCTATTGCCCAACCAAAGGGAAAAAAAAAAGAAAAAAGAAAGACAACCTATAGTATAAATGTTGATTAATCACAATTGACCTATTAACATGAAAAGAAAATACCAATTAAAATTTAAAAGAAGTATCACACTAAGGCATAGAGTGGTGACTTTGCTTTCATCTCTACTTAATATTTTAAAAATAGCTCTAACTTAACAAATTGAGCTGCAAACTTATTCTGAGACATTTCTTAGGGTCAGAATCTTTCCCTGTTGTACTCTTATGCTCTGTGCTCCTGTAGATGAGAAAAGCTCATGAGCAGCTTTCTTCCAGCCTTTGTCTTTTTAGAGTAAGATGTTATCTTTGCTTCCTAATGAGCTCTAGGACTAACTTCCCTGGTAATTAGCAGTTCTTTTCTTTGCCACTAACTCCCTCTTTCCTTTTTTTCCCTGCATTTTTCTTTCATACACTCTTACAACAAGAAGGTGAGATGAGAGACCGTTTAAAGCTGCTTTAAAGAAAGCTTGGGGTCAAGGTTAGAGCCCAGTGACTCAACTTTCCCATTAAGATTATGCTTGACAAGCCTAGCTAATTAACAGTGAAGTGATATATGTATGACTCAAGCTTGCTATAAAATGATATTTGCAATAAACTTTTCTCTAGCCCTTTTTTTGGGAGTGGAGGGACAATTTCATCTCCACTGCTATATCCATTGACTTTATATACAGGTGACTCATCCATGTTATCCCTAGCCCAAACCCTAATCTCCTGTCTCTTGACTATCAGCTTCCCCCAAACTAAATTTCTTACCTTTCTCCAAAAATCCTATTCGGTCAGTGGCAGTCTCCCATATTTGGAACCTCTGTATTATCACTTCCTCCCACATTGAATTACTATCTAATCCACCTCTGCAGTCTCTCACATCCTTCCCCCACCTCTTTATTCCCACTGTTATCATTTCATTGCTACAGGTGCTCACTAACACCTAGCCAACATCTTACCTAACAGGTTTGTCTCCATTCTCTTCCATTTCTTTTACACCTGTCCTTCACCCTACTTCTAGGCTAATTTTATTTATTTTTATTTATTTATTTTGGCAAGGTAATTGGGGTTAAGTGACTTGCCCATAGTCACATAGCTAGTAAGTGTCTGAAGCCAGATTTGAACTCAGGTCCTCCTGACTCCAGGGCCGGTGCTCTGTCCACTGTGCCACCTAGCTGCCCCCAGGTTAATTTTATAAAGAGATTTGGTCCTATTCTCAGACTCCTCCACTGTTTTCCTAGTGCAGACTAAGGAAAATTCAAAGATCTTTGCCTGGGATTCAAGGCCCCTGCGAATTTGGTACCACAAACAGCCTTGCCCTTGTCTGGTTCTCTACTGTCAAACCAAACTACTCCTTTACCATTGTACACATCCCCTTTTTCTTGCCTCCATGCTATTGTTTACCCTGTTTCATATTCCTGGAAACTTTTCCTAGTTCAATTCAAATACTGCCTCCTCCACGAAGCCTTCCTTAATCTCCCAGTAATAACAACTTCTACTGCTTTCAGACCTCACACACAACATTTTGTTTTTACTTTGGTACTCAGATAGGCATTATTTTGTATTGTAGTTATTTATGTGTGTTATGAAATCCTCAGGGGAAATTTATAAGGATCATATACTTTCTTGAAGGGATGTTGGCCCTCTTTCAGGCAGAATGTGTTTGAAATCCTATTTAACATTATCTAATTTTGGTGCCCAAGAAGGACCAAAAAAGGGTTGTAAATTAGATAATGATGACCAACTTCACATGCTATAATTATTCATAAGAACAAAAAGTGTCACTCAAGCCTGCATCTTTTAAAATTTGTTGATTGAGATTAAAGCTTGGGTGCATATATAGGATTTGGAGCAGGAAGGAATCTAAGGTCCTCTGGTCAGCTCCCTTATTTTGAAGATGAGAAGCCCAAGTGTTTGACTTTCCCCCCAAACCATACAGGTACTAAATAGAGGCTATGATTTGAACCCCAAATCTGTTGCTCTTTCTTCTGTGTACTACATCAGGAATAAGTGACCGCTTAAGCTGGCCCACTGATCTCTAGAATAAAAGAAGACAGTATCCTGTAGGGACCGATTTATCATGCATAAGCTTCTAAACCAGTTTCTGGTAAAGAGCTGGGATAAATTTGGATTTTCAAGGCAAATTCAGCTCTAGGCCAGCTCTTTCATTTAAAAAACAAAACTGTGGAGCATGTTCAATTGCTTCCCTCCTGCAGGCCCCAGTTTCCTAATTGGACAAGAGGGGATCTCTAACGTCCCTGTCCGTTTTCTGATTCTAGGACACTATTGCTGACCTATATCCCTTTAGGAGAGTGCTTATCTAAGCTCTGTAGACTGCTCAAGCATCATACACAACAAATTCTTAGGGTTTCATAGAATCTGAAAATTAAAAGAGACCTTAGAGGTCATCTACACCAGGACTTCTTAAACTTTTTCCACTCACAACCCCTTTTTGCCAAATGCAAAGTGCACCTGCTTTGTGTTCAGAACCAAGGCTTCAGTGTTCAGAAAGGTTCAGAAACCTTTTGCTCTTGCCAAATTTTTCATGACCCATGTGAGGTGGCAACCACAGTTTAAGAAGCCTGATCTAGACCAACCTATACCTAGGAAAGGAAAAATGCTCCCCCCTCCAAATAGTATGTTTTGCAAATCAACCTTTGCCTGCAGACCACAATGTGAGGGGGAACATGCTTCCTCCAGGGTTAGCCATTTCCCTTTTTTTTTTTTTGGCAAGGCAGTTTGGGTTAAGTGACTTGCCCAGGGTCACACAGCTAGTAAGTGTCAAGTGTCTGGTCTGAGATTGGATTTGAACTCAGTTCCTCCTGACTCCAGGGCAGGTGCTTTATCCACTGCGCCCCTACCTGCCCCATTCCATATTTTTTTTCTTTTGAAGTGTTTGCCTACATCAAGCTTAAATTTATACCTGTTGCTTTTAGTTCTGTGTTCTGTGACCAAATAGAATAAGACTAATCTGTCTTCCACTTGAGAGCCTTTCACATGCTTTATGACAGCCATCATATCTGCTCCCCACTCCAAATTCTCTTCAAACTAAACAACACCCCCAGTTTTACTTCCATTGAACCTCATATGGAACAGCAGACCTTTCATCAATCGTCTTGCCCTCCTCTGGGCACTCTTCCAGGCTGTTCATATCTTTCCCAAGATGTGGTCCCCAAACTGAATGTAATACTCAATGATCAGAGTATACCACAGTGAATTATCTCCATTATTCCTTCACACTCCATCTCATTTAATGGAGCTTAAGGTGGCATTGGCCTTCTTGGTTGCTGTATCACACTGTTGACTTCTAGTGAGCTTCCAGACAGTGCAAGGTGTGCCCCTCCCCATTCCCAACTTGCTAATGTGCCTCCCCCATCTTGCACTTGGAAATTGATTTCTTAAAATTTGAAATATGTAAGATTTTCCATTTCTCCCTGTTAAATTTTATCATATTAGGTTTGGTCCAGTATTCTAGCACGCCGAGATCTTTCTGAGTCCCAGCTGTGTTGTCCAGAATGTTAGCTAACCCTCCCAGATTTGTATCATTACCAAGTTTGATGAGAATGCTATTTTTGCCTTTATGATTAAATGGGGAGGACAATCTATTAAGTGCTTGCCAAGCGCAAAGTACTGGGGATACAAATAGAAAAGTAAGACTACCCCTGCTCTCATGAGCTTACATTCTGATGGGGGAGACAACATATATGGAAGGTCTCAGCTGCAAGTCAGAGGGAAAGGTCGCATGGCCCCTAGGGATAGAGTGACAAAGCAGATGGTAATGCATTTTATTTAGTGTCATTTCCGTGAATAAAATTGTATCAGTTTCTGATGAACCATTTGACAGTGGCAAGGATTTTGGTGGCAAAAACTTTCTTTTCTGGGTGTTCTGTAGCTGTGGCTATAGCATTTGTAGGAGCAGTTGCCAGGTTACATCTCTACAGGGTTTGGTTGCTTCCCAGGATGATGGCTATGGGTACTAGACTGGAAGCATTACTATTTCCAAGACTCTTGGGTTCAGGGTTCTGGCTGTCTCCATTGGAATGGGAGGAAAGATGTTAGTCAAGGGGGTGGTGATGGTTTGACTTGCTTGGTACACCTCCTATCTCTCCTTAAGAGTACCTTGCCTGCTATAGCTAGGCTGGCTTGCCTGTTCTGTATCTAAACCAAAGGGAAACTATCAACAGCGCTAGGCTAAGCACAGCTCCTTGGTGTACTCCAGTGTTGAAATTAACATCAAACTAAGTAGCTGGGCTTCCAACCAGTTCCTAATCCACTTAATTGTACTCTCCTTTAGTGCAGTGATCTCCAAAGTATGTGGACTACAAGATCTCTTGAATCTGTCCCACTTCCTGCATTTACACAGCTACCATTCTAATTCAGCTCCTCATCACCTCTCATCTGAACTATAGCGATGGTCTCCCAGCCTCAAGTCTTCCCCCTTTTCCAAGCCGTCTTCTACACGGTAGTGGCCAAAATGATTTTCCCAATGTGCAAATATGACCATGTCACACCCCTACTCCTCCACATTCCCACCCCCAGCCAAACCCCAGTGTGAGTGTCTCTATTACTTCTAGGATCATATATGAACTCCACTGTTGAGCATTTAAGCATATTCACAACCAAGTTCCATCCTACCCTTCCAGCCTTGTTACATGTTACCCCTCATTTCCTGCATTCTATAGTCTGGCTGAACTCTCCATCTTACTATTTTGTTCAGAAATACAACTAAAATACCCAAATGTTAATAGAAAATTAAGGAACAACACTATCCATTAGGCTTGCCACCTAAAGAATGGATTTATATTGAAACTTTTCTACTGAATTGAAACCCGAGAAAGCTTGCTTTGCTTTTTTTTTTAATTGCCTATAGAAACAAGAATATGGAAAAACAAGAATCCAGGAAATCTTTGTGTTCCGCTAATAGCTCTGATGTATTAACTTAATGTTTTGCATCTTTCAATAAAAAGTATCTTAAAAAGATTCATCTGGGAGTTGTGAAATGATTCAACCGTTTTGGAGAACAATTTGGAACTATGCCCAAAGGGCTACAAAAATGTGCATACCCTTTGACCCAGCAATAGCACTTCTAGGGCTATATCCCAAAGAGATCAAACAAATGGGAAAAGGACCCACATGTACAAAAATAGCAACTCTTTTTGTGGTGGCAAAGAATTGGAAATTGAGAGGATGCCCATCAATTGGGGAATGGCTGAGCAAGTTGTGGTATATGAATGTAATAGAATACGATCGTGCTATAAGAAATGATGAACAGGCAGACTTCAGAAAAACCTGGAAAGACTTGTATGGTCTGGTGCTGAGTGAAGTGAGCAGAACCAAGAGAATGTTGTACACAATAACAGCCACGTTGTGCGATGACTAATATTGATAAACTTAACCCTTCCCAGCAATACAAAGACCTAAGACATCTCCAGAGGCCTCGTGATGGAAAATGCTACCCACATTCAAAGAAAGAACTATGAAAGTTAAATTGCTACATTTTTCTCTTCTGTTGAGTTTTGTTTCATCTTTCTGATGGTTCCTCCTATTGGTGTTAATTTTTACTTACAACACCACTAATGTGAAAATATGTTTAATAGGAATGTAAAAGTATAGCCTATATCAGATTGTGTGCTGTCTTGGGGAGGGTGGTGGGGAGGACGGGGGAGAAAAATTTTAAACTCAAAAGCATATGGAAGTGATTATTGATAAATCAAAATAAATTAATAAAATTTTTAAAAAATTAAAAAGATTCGTCTGCTATACTAGCCACTTTAATCAAATTAACTGAATAATAACAAATACTATGTCTAAAGTCCTTCCTTTCCCCCAGGACATAGATAGGGATTTAAAAAATAAAAAGCACATTGTTCTCACTGAAAGTATTAATATTTTAGGAAAAACAATGAGGTTTCGTGCCATTCATTTTAAAACATCAGTATTTCATTTTCTTATCCTTTTAAAATGTCCATTTTTGTGTGTTTTATAATGTAAGCTATGTCAGTACAGAAATGTATAATATACATTATCATATTGTTATATATAATATGCTGAAGATACTTGTTCAAAATTTTTTTTTACTGAGAGCCAGGGTGTGTGATCCAAAAGGTGAAAACCAATTGATATTAGCCCACCTCTGTCCATCTTTTTCACAAGAATAGAATGGGATCCTTTATCAAAGCGCAGCTAGGTGGCGCAGTGGATAGAGTGCTAGGAAACTCATCTTCCTGAGTTCAAATCTGACCTCTGACACTCTGTGTCAGGCCTGGGAAAGTCACTTAACCATTTTGCCTCAATTTCCTCATCTGTAAAATGAGCTAGAGAAGGAAATGGCAAACCACTCTAAGTATCTTTGTTAAGAAAACTCCATGGGACAGCTAGGTGGTGCAGTGGATAGAACACCGGCCCTGAAGTCAGGAGTACCTGAGTTCAAATCTGGCCTCAGATCAAACACTTGACACTTACTAGCTGTGTGACCCTGGGCAAATCGCTTAACCCCAATTGTCTAAAAATTAAAAAATTTGAAAAAAAGAAAACTCCAAATGGGGTCACAAAAGAGTAGGACAAAACTGAAATGACTGAACAACACTGTATCAAAACTTGACTAAAATGTAGGTAAACTATATCTATAGCACTAGGTTAGTAAGTTAGACTCTACCAGTTTGGTAAACTGTAGCAACCTGTCAGAAAATGAAATAAAATTAGTCTAACATGACTCTTTTAATAAAGCTACACAGGTTCTTTTTGTTCAATGTTTCTTTTTCCATACTTTCACTAATCATATCTTTAATAGTAAATTCTAGCATTTTGCCAGGTATTGAAGTCAAATTTACAGGCCTGTTGTTTGCAAAATCTCCAGTTTTATAAAACTGTGATAATGTTTGCCCCAAACCTTTGATACTTCATTCACTTGCCACAGTCTTTTAAAGATTGTTAACAGTTGCTTAGCAATCACTTCTGCTAGGTTTTTTTTTTTTAATACTTTTGATAGACATGCCTTGGGATTTTTCTCTCTCCCTCTTCCCTTTCAGTTTATCCCTTTGATTAGATTTCTAAGACTCCATGTAAATACATTTTTATCAGCTCTGAAGTGCACTCTATCCCTGGCCAGGGACCCATCATTGCTATATTTTAAGCCATAGTCCAGAAATCAAAATCTCAACCATTTTCATAATCAACTGTTCACTTTCCAAATAATGCCTTTGTCCTTTGAAACCTTTGCCTTCAATGTGTAGCAGTGGAGAAGACACCATTTATCCCTAATGCCAGTTTCTTGTTCAAAACCTCATAATTTTTAGCAATGCTTAACAAGTTCTTTCTGACAGTATTTTTTTGTGCCTTGAATCAACAGTCATAGATTTTGGTCATTCTATTTGTAAGTCTTGGATACGTGTCCTCAAAGGTACCAGACCTCTCATGTGAAAAGCTTGACCAGTAAGTACCTGTACTAACCACTAATGTCTGGCTCTTCTTCCTCTGACTCTTATTTTTTAATAAAATAAAAATAAAATAATAAAAAAATGTTCTCCCATCTAACAGCACCTGTGCATCCACATCATTATTGCTTGGAGAGCAAGTAGTTGTTGCTGCTTCAGAGAATCCATCTTCCTCCTCTTTAGGAAAGTCTCAGTGTTGTTTATGTCCTTCAGGTTCATTGATCTTTCTTCTCCTTTATCTTAGTATTAACCTCCAACTTCTGACACAGGTCAGGATTCTGCCCTGCCTCCTCCTCCCCCTCCTCCCTTGCCGCCATTGAAACCCTTCTTGTGTGATTTT